GAGAGAGAGAGAGAGTCTCTCTATATAGCCCAGGCTGGCTTAGAACTTGGGGTGATCCTCCTGCCTCAGCCTCCTAAATGCTGGATTACAGGTTTGTGCCACCATGCCCTGCTTGGGTAACCACTTTTATACAGTTTCCAGACTCCTGGTATCAGGTGAGGGGCTTTGGTAAGACCCCTGCCAGGCTAACCTAAATGAGTCAAAGGTTGCCTCAGATACCTAGCCGGGGGGTCATTCCGATGCCATTGGTGACCACAGCCCTGAGATCACTCAGAGGCAGCCCTGGTGGCTCGTGTTGAGATCAAGGGACTTTTTGTAGGAACCAGAGCTGCAGACAGACAAAAAGGACACCCAGCTGGGAGAGAGAGAAGGGAGCAGGGCCACGTGATGCAAGAGCGGCGTGGGCTTCCGCTGGACTTCCTGCATCTGGTGTTCTTAGAGGCCCCTGTATGTAGAAGACAAACCCTCCTTTATCTGCATTACTCCGAATTGTGTTCCTGGTCCTGGCAGCCGGACAGAGCTAGTGAACCTCCGTGGCAGGCTGCTCTGGGCTGGTAGACCCAGCCAAAAACACAGAAGGTTATCTGTGTTTTCTCTTTTGCCTGGCCCTGCTCCGTGGGTCGCACCTCATTTGCATACCCACTGCCTCATCTGCATATCCAGGCTCATTTGCATACCTATGTATTCATTTGCATGCTCACCAAGCACCCTGCCACCGTGTTAAAGTGAAAGCTCTTCCTGCCTCCCAGGCCCCGCATCTGGGGATAGCTGGCTCTTCTTGCAGTGTAGGCAGGACATTTGCATTTATTGACACCTGCTGGTGGCAAGTCGGTATTGCAGGCAAATATACAGTGCAGCTCTGTTCTGTTCACCATGATAATCACGCCACTGCCCTCATACAGTAGTAACTCCAGTGGAAGGTTCTATTGATGCTCAGGGCAAGTAACAGGAACTATGGGATGATGACTGACATAATGCCACCTTAGCCCATAGCAAGAGGGGAGGAAACAATCAGAGAAAAGAAGGTACAGTAATGCATTTGGTATTTGACTAATTAAATATTGAAAGCCCCTCCAACCCCTCATGTCTATTTCATTCCAGTTTTATTTATTCTCTTAGACTATTTCTCATGGATCATATTTATCTTGGGCTATAAAACATGGTACATGGCCAGGTACGGTGGTCTGCACCTGTAATCCCAGCACTGCAGAAGGCTAAGGCAGGACGATCACTAGTTCAAATCTAGACTGAGCACTTTAGCAAGACCTCCTCTTCAAACAAAGAGCTAGAGATGCAGCTCTGAGTTCACTTCTCAGAACCAAAACCAAGGTAGCCAAAAGAGAAAGAGGATGTTTTACTTATTCTTTTCTTTTTCCTTTTGGTCTTTCCCAATCAGAATATCAGGAGCAGGAATTTTTTTTTTTTTTTTTTTTTTTTTAATTTATTACTCCTGGCCAGGGTCTGTATGAGATGCCTGAATAATTATCTGATGTGAAGTGCCCAGGGGATGTTTCCCAGAGTCCCCAAGGGAAATTCCAGCACGATAGAAGGACAGGGAGAGTGATAGCCCATGACAGGAGAGAAAAGCTGGGACACGGGAGTCAAGTGCCCTTCCCCCACACTAAGTATAGCCCCAGCCTTTTTCTGGCACATTTTATTTTGAGATAGGGACTTGCTCAATTGCCCAGGTTGGTCTTGAACCTGAGATCCTCCTGCCTCAGGAGCCTGAGGAGCTAGGATTGCAGGTCTGTTTTCCGCCACACTCAGCTGAGTTGAGTGCTAGTTCAGGGTCATAGCCTCTTCCCAGCTGTGGGGAGCCCCCCTGGCTGCCCCTGCCCCATGCAGCTCCTGTGATACCTGGTGGCTCCTGCGGGCACTGCGCCGTGGCCGGTCCTGAGGGGTGAGGCTGTTGATCTTGCATTCATAGCAAGCTTCTGGGGAGAGCGGCTCCTCATCTGGGGCTTCCTGAGGTTCAGGGCTGAAGCCCAGGGCAGAGACACAGTGCCTAGGCCAGGATGGTGGGAAGGCAGGCTTTCAAGGAGCAGCTGACACCTTAGCAGGAGGCCTGCTAACCTGTCCCACCCCTCCAGCATGAGCCAGCTGCCCTGGGGCAGGAGCTGCTGTACAAATGTGCCTGTGTGCTTGTGCTGCTGTGGCTCTGTGTACACCCGCAGAAGAGCTGTGTGTGTGCATGGGCCCCCTGGCCACCCGGCACAGGTGTGAACATGGGAATGAGATGGTATGAATTTCCTGGGAGAAATGAGCGTGCCCCAGTGTGTGCACAGGTGGGGGCCTGTGTGCACACGGGGAAGGTGACATGCAAGGACACATGCGCTATGTATGAATCTACTCATGCAGGTCTCCATGCACACAGGCTCCGCATTTCCTACTGAACTACCCAGGATCAAAACTGATGCAAAGTCGGGGGCAGCTCAGTGGTACAGCGCTTGCCTAGCGTACGCAAGGCCCTTAGCACCTCAAGAAAAGTGCACTGTCCTACTAAGGTGTGGGGGCACGTGCCCATAACCTCAGCAGTCTAGGAGGCTGAGCCAGGAGGATTGCAAGTCTGAACCCAGGCTGGGCAATTTAATGATGTATCAAGACTCAGTCTCAAAATTTTAAGCAAACAAAATGAATAAACAAACAAGTGCTAGAATTGTAGCTCAGGGTGAAAGCCTTGGGCTCAATCTCAGTACTGAAAAAAAGTCATAAATTGTTGCTGATGTGTGCTGAGGCTTACCCTCTGTCTGTACTGAATACGTGGACATTTTTCTTGTTATTATTTCCTAAGCAATACAAGACAACTATTTACACAGCATAAACATTGAATTAGGCATTATAAATAATCTGAAAGTGATTCAAATTATCCAAGAAGGCTGGAAATGCAGCTCAGTGGTAGAGCACTTTGCCTGGCATGGGCAAGGCCCTGGGTTCCTCCCCACCTCTGGAAAAAAACAGTATAGAAGAGGCTGCACACAGGTCATCTAGAACTACTACGCCTTTTGTGCATGCATGTGTGTGCATATGCATGCATCCGTGTGTGCGTGCACATGTGTGTATGTGTGTGCACGTGTTACTGGGGGTTGATCCCCGGTCCTTTTACTGAGCTACATCCTCAACTCCTGTTATAAAACACAGTTTTTGAGACAGGGTCTCAAGTTCCCTGAGCTGGGCTCGAATTTGCAACCCTCATGCCTCAGCCCCTCATGCACACATGTACACACAGAGCACAGTGCCTGTGCCCATTCTACCCCTTCCCACCCACTCAAACCTCTCACCCTTGCCCAGCCCGGAAGTAGCCTCGGGGGCAGCTGCACAGAAAGCCACCGGCAGTGTTGGCACAGCCGTAGCTGCAGGGGCCGCTCTGTCCAGTGCACTCATCCACATCCTGGCAGCCCCCGAGGGCCTCGTCAAAATCAAAGCCAGAGGGGCAGACACAATGGAAACCCCCAAGGGTGTTGTGGCAGGAGGCACTACCGCAGGCCGTGGGTGACACAGCACACTCGTTCTCATCTGTGGATAAGGAGGCGACAAATGGTGGCCAGAGATTCCGCACCCCCAGAGCCCTCCATCCGGAAGGCTTGCCCATCAGAGCCCAAGTCCACAGTGACAGCCTGCAGGAGCTCACCAGGAACCCGACTGCATCTGTCTTCTTCCACACTTTGCTTGTCACACTCCTTATCATACTTGCCAAGCCTCTGCCGCAAGCCTGCAATTCTCCTTCATGGTATTTCTCAAAGCACCTCCTAAACGCTAAATTGTGGGCTGCTCTGGCACAAGCTGTCTGGCCCTCAGCCCTATGTGCAACTTTCCAGAAGCTGGGAATACAGGCGCACACCACCATGCCAGGCTTCCAAAGGTCCCCTGGGAGGCAAAATTGTCCTCAATGGAGAACTTAGTGAGTCGTCTAATGAGGGGTCTCCTCTGCAGGGGTCCATTTGGGGCTTACTTCTGCACCCTACAGGCCTGGTACAAGGCAAATCCATGGAGGAGAGTTGGGGAAAGAATCACCAGCAAAGGCCAGGGATCTGTGCCATCCCTAAGAGCAGTGCAGACAAAGGCCTGAGGGTAAGGTGGCACGGGAAGACAAAAACCAAACAAGACTTAGTTAAAGAATCACCTTAAATGACAAGAGGAAGACAGAAAGTAGGTCCACTGCAACATGTACGGTCAAGATGTTGTATACATACATGCCTTTGTTGCCCATTGCTGTACCCAGAGTAGACATTACTAATCAATCCCAGCATTAATTCCCCTGCTAATCACTAATCAGTCACTGCACTTTTTCCAGGCCACTCATGGAAGACATCACTAATCAATCACTACATTCTCTCCAATCACCCACAACAGACATCACCAACCAACTGCAATATTCTTTCTTCTGTTCCTATGGAAGACATCACTAATCAATCACTGTACTCTTTTCACTCCACTCATGGTAGACATCACTAATTAATCACTGCCTTCTTTTCCAGCAATCACAGGCATGGTCTCCAAATCTTTCTCAACTCCTGTCAACCACTCTCTAAGAAATGGACTGGAATACCATGTCATGTTTGCTTAGCTGTCCCCTGGCTGCCCAGTGGGAGACATCCCAGGCTGGCTTATCTGAGTTTTAAATAGTTCTGCCGGTCACAACATCTGGCAGTAAAGCGGCTCCTTGTTTCTCGCTCTTCCCAGGTTTTCCTGCCCACCTTTACCACTCACCTACACACTGTGCCCACTGGGAGTGCTGGGTGAAGCCGTGGGGGCAGCTGCAGCGGTAGCCCCCCACCTCATTCTGACAGCCATGGCGGCAGCGATGGGGTCCGTCACACTCATCCACATCTGAGGCATAGAGAGCCAGGGAGAGGGGGCTCAGCTGCTGGCTCCAAGAACCCCCAGCCGTGCACCCCACCCATGCTGGCTTGGCTCTACCTTTGCAGCCCTGGCCTGAGCCGTCCAGAGTGAAGCCTTGGTAGCACTCACAGCGGAAGCTGCCTGGGACATTGAGGCAGTGTCCATGGGCACCACATGGGCTGGGCTGGGCCAAGCACTCGTTGTTGTCTGCAGAGGACAGAGAATGGGCAGGGTCTCCTGGTGGTTAGGGAATGCTGTGGGTGCCACCTGACTTGCTGTGTGGCTTCGGGCAAGTCATTCTGCCTTTCTGTGCCTGTTTTTCCCTCTGTGAAATAAGAGCTGTGGGCCGGGGAGATGGCTCAGTGGACTAAGCGCTTCCCTGGCAAGAGCAAGGGCCTGAGTTCAATCCCTGGTTCCGCCAAAAAAAAAAAAAAAAGAAAAAAGAAAAAAAAAGAAAAGAGAAAAGAAAGAAATGAGAGCTGTAACAGTTCTTCTCTCGGCCAGGATTTGTAGTGGTACAGATGAAGGGCTTCGCTTGAATTGCATCTCCCCTACTTTTTAAATTTTTTTAAACATTATTTTAAAATTTTGACAGTCTTGCTGAGTTGCGAAACTGCCCAGCCTTGGCTCAAATTTGCAATGCCCCTGCCTCGGCCTCCCAGAAGGCTGGATTATAAGCATGTGCCCCCATGCTCAGCTCTTCTCCATCTCAAAGGCGGGCAGTCTTTCCCTGGTGGCCTCAGTTTCCTGAGTTACCACACAGAGGGGATTGACACCTCCTTTTGGCATTTGTTTGGGTAAGAACTGAATGAACTGCACACAGGGCTTAGGATAGTATCTGGCAAGGGACTAAAAGATGACCAATACCTTCACAGGCTGGAGATGTGGCTCCTGGGAGGATGTGTGTCATGCAGGTGAGACCTGTGATCCCCCAGGACCACACACATGCTGAACTAGAGTAAAGCAGGTAGGGGAGGGCACATCTGCAAGCCCAGCACTCTGGGAGGCTGACACAGGAGGATCAAAAGTTTGAGCCCAGCCTAGCAAGACCCTTTCTCAAAACAAAAAGTATGTGGGGAATGTAGCTCAGTGTCAGAGCCCTGGATTCAGTTCCTAGTGCCACAATTGACCAATAAAAATTTATTTTTGTTCGATTAATAAAAATTTTAAAAATTGATGTTATAAGTAGCTCAGGGTATAACTCAATGATATACTATTATTATTATATTTTTTATGTGTTTAGTACAGGGTCTTCAGGGTCTCACTACACAGATCAGTCCGTTTTCAGCTTTCCAAGCACTGGGATTACAGGCGTCAGGCCTAGTCTCACTTTCCATCTCAGAGCGCCCCGGGGGCAGGGCCGGCTCGGCACACCAGGGATCGAACCCCAGCTGCTGTGCTCTGCCTAAGCAGGTGCTTTAGTGCGCTGAGCTATCTGGCCAGCTAGGTAGGGATAGAGTATATACTTGACATGTAGGTAGGCTCAATTCCCAGCACTGAAAACAAAACTTTTTTTTTTTTTTTAGACAGGGTCTAACTACGTAGCCTAGGCTGGCCTAAAACTTAGGGCGACTCTCCTGCTGCAGCTTGCCAGGCGCTGGGCTGACAGGCATAAGCCACCATCCCACTAGCTGATTGACTGTTCTCTGAATACTGCAGCTTTGTTTCTTTCCTAACCTCCTAATTCTGCCTTTGCTTTTATGTTCTTAGTGCCTTTTAACATATTTATTAAGGCTGATTCTTAATAATAGTGTCCAGTCTGATTCTGTGCTAGAGGGCCCATGGTGGTAGCGGCCACTATTCTCCTGGACCCTTGGGACCTGTTTCTGTCAATAGCCAGAGAGTAAGCTTTTGTTTTGCTCCATTGAAAGACTGGACTCTGTTATCATAATGCAAATGCAGCCACGGAAGATGGGTAGAGTGGGCGTGGCTGTGTACCAATAAAACTTTATTAACAAAAGCAAGCACGGGCCAGGCCACTCGGCTGCAGTCTGAATCTTCTGGCTGGAAGCACTGGCTGGTACAAAGCTGGTGCTCAGCAGATGGTAAATAAATGGATGAGAGGGAGCCTGAAAGGGGGTACACTCAGCTGGGCCCAGACCCTGAAAGGAAATCTGGTTCCCTGAGAGCCACAAGATAGTGGCAGATGCCCTTGTGGCTTTGACTTCTAAACCATGTTCCGCTTTGGACAGAGTGAACCCTGGGAGTCCCCGAGCCTTCTAGGTGAGGGCCAAGTGGAGGCTGGGGGCCCAGGCCCAAGGCACCTCTAGGGGAGCGGCTCTCAGCCCCCCAGGGCGAGCAAGGAGGGAGATGTCACTAAGATGAGCCCCAAGGAGGCAAGGGCTTCAACCCACTCCCTTACCCCTATCCCTGATGCCTGGCACACCAGGGAGATGCCTGATACTTCTTTGGTGACCGCAGGAAGGGTTGGGGCACTCACCGAAGCAGGCCTGGTGGCGCTGAGTGAAGCCCGGGGGACAGCGGCAGGCAAAGGCACCAATGGTGTTGATGCACAGGAACTGGCAATTGTGCTGCCGGGCAGAGCACTCATCCACGTCTGCGGCAAAGAATTCAGGGGCTCAGGGGGCGGGGCTAGGGCTGCCCGGGGGCGTGGCCACAGCTTGGGGGCGGTGCCTGGAGGGAATGAGCTCCCAGGAGATGAGGGGAAGAGCCTGGATGCGGTGTGCTTGGGGAGGACAGCAGAGGCCCTCACCTTTGCAGGTCCTGCCATCTTCCGCCAGTAGGTAGCCCCGCGGGCAGGTGCAGAGGAAGCTGCCCTCGGTGTTTTGGCAGAGGAAGGCACACGGCTTGGGGTCCTGGCCGCACTCGTCCACATCTGGGGGTGCGGGATAGCGAGTGTGAGGAGGTCAGATAATGAGAATCGCTCAGGGGCTGGGGTCCCCTTCCTAGACTCTGACCACCCTAAATCTGTGGAGTACACAGGAAGTGGCATTTTTCCGTCAAAAGCAGAGTAATAAACAAACAGTCTGCTGCTTGTACCCACACATTCAACCAACGACGGACTGAAAATAGTCTTTTTTTTTAAAATGTATTTGGTTGTTGCAGGTTCTCCTACGCAGCTCGGACTTGTGATCCTCCTGTTTGCGGCTTCCCCAGAGCTGGGATTACAGGCAGACACCACCATGCTCCCACTCTGGCAGGTTTATCCCACCTGGGGGACGTGGCTGGCGCGGCATGTAGTGCCAGGGATCAAACCGCGGTCCCCGGGCTTGCCTAAGCCATTCCATGCCCAGCACCACAGAATAAAGAAAAAAATAAGTAAGTAAATAAATAAATACAAGCAATGGTCTGGGGAGGTAGCTTGGCAGTTTAAGTGCTTCTTGGCAAGCACAAGGACCTGGGTTTGATCCCCAGTACCGCATGCTGTGCCAACCCGGCACTGTGCCAGCCCCAAAACCGGGCATGGTGGTGCATGCCTGTAATCCCAGCACTGGGGAGGCTGACATGAGGATCATTATAAGTCCAAACTGTGTAGCAAGGCCCTGTATTGAAAGAATAAATAATAAAAAATAAATAAAAGCAAATAAAAGTGTGTACAGCTGGGTGTGCTGGCACATGTCTATAAACACAGCACTTGGAGGCTGAGGCAGGAGGATTGCTGTGAATTCAAGGCCAGCCTGGGGTACATAGTGAGACACTGTCTCAAAAATATAAAAACTTGGGCCAGGGAGAGGGTTCAGTAGAATAAGCACTTGCCTGGCAAGCACAAGGGCCTGAGTTCAATCCCCGGTTCCACAAAAAAAAAAAAAAAAAGAAAAGAAAAAGAAAAAAAATATATACATATAATTTTTTTTTAAAAAAAAGTAAGAAAAAGAAAATGTGTTGGGGCTGGGGAGATGGCTCAGTGGAATAAGCACTTCCCTGGCAAGCACAAGGGCCTGAGTTCAATCCCCGGTTCCACAAAAAAAAAAAAAAAAAAAAAAAAAAAAAAGAAAAGAAAAGAAAAAGAAAATGTGTGTAAGTCATATGCAAATAGAAGAGATTTAGGCAGCCCTGGATTTTGGTATCCCAGCAGGGGCCAATGACCTTTCTACAAACTGAGTAGCTGATGAGTATAAATAGGCACAGCTGTGTGCCAATAAAACTTTATTGATAAAACTAAACAGGAGGCCAGACTTGCCCACAGGGTGGGGTCTGCTGCTGCATGACTTAGGAGCATCTCCCAGCAATTGGGCTGAAGGAAATGTGAGGGGGAGCACAGCCCGCACAGAGGGGAGAAGCCCAGGGGGCTGTGCTTGTGGTCTTGTGTTCTGGCTCCCTTACGAGGTGGGCGTCTTGTAAATGCCAGGGAAGTGGGTTGTGGGGGAGAGGCTCACCCAGGCAGGCAGTGGCAGTGGCATCCGGTGTGTACCCAGCCTGGCAGTGGCAACGGAAGGAGCCAATGCTGTTGATGCACTCGCCGTGGGAGCACAGGTGGGCAAGCACACGGCACTCGTCCACATCTGGAGATGGGCGGGGCAGGATGGGCGGTGCCTTCCTTCTGCCCACCAGCCTTGTCCCCACACCTCCACCCACGGGACCCCACCCTCAGGGTGCGTTGTCCTGGAGCGGCTGGGGCGCCTTTCATTGAGCACAAGCAAGTGCAAACACAGAGATGCATGCCTGTTAACAAGCTTGCACCAGCATACACCAGCTCGGGTGCCCATTAATGAGCTGGTACATGCAGAGAATACACAGAACACCGACGTGGAGCATGATCACCTCAAGGACACGCACCTCGTCCCTCAGCGGAGTACCCCATGCCGTGGGGACACAGCTTCTTGTAGGCAGAGGTGCCAGGCAGGGGGCAGAGCTCACAGTTGGGCCCCCAGCCCCGGCCACCCCCGCAGCAGCACGTGGCCCTAGTCACAGCCTCGCCGCTGCTCCAGTGGACCAGGCACACAGCCTGCAGCACCTCGGAGAAGCAGGGCCCCTGCCGGACATCTGTAGGGAAGCAGAGGGGATGGTGAGCAAGAGAACCCTGAGGCCCGGAACCCCCTTGGGGACATGCATGGGACATGAAATCTTTGAAATCATTTCGACTCTGTGAAACACCTTCAGTGGGCTGGGGTGAAGGCAACAGGCACACCCAACCCTCAGAGTGGTGCCCTGCACTGGGCTACAAAGGTAGAACAGTAGCTTGGGGGAAAAGGGAAACTTTCTTTCCCCAAGGGTGGCAGGGGACATCAAGGTGGGGGCAGGAAGTGGCCACGTGTGGGATGGAGCAGAAGGAAAATGACATCCAGATGCAGATGGGAAGTGGGGAGGGCCACACGCAGATTGGATGCCGAAGTGGGAAGAGGGGTCACTCTGGGAAGCTCACATGGGGACCTGTCGCTGAGCTGAGGACGGGGACAAAGATCCTGAGCTTTCTCTGGGGCAAGTGCCACGGTGGGGGGCTGCGGACAGCAGTGTCCAGGAGGCCTCTGGATAGGCACATCTGGCCTGGAGCTGCGGGGTGGATGCTTGCCCAGGAAAAAGCAGACAGGAACGGACACATGGAACAGACAGATGTGGCTGCACAGGCCACCTGCCAGGTGTAGTTTCCTGGAGGTAGGAAATCAGGAGGGCCCGTGGCTGAGTGCTGCTTCTGGCTTTGGAGGAACCATGGGGGACAGGTTGGGAGTAGGAGGCAGCAGGTTTTCTGGAATGTTTGATCGAAAGGACCAAAGCACAAGTGGGTTGTATGTGTGTACGTGCGCACACGTGTGCAGTGGACATGTTTCTGGATTGGCTTAGCCACTGCCTGCAGGTCTCTCCGAGGCCCCCCAACACCATCCCTGCCTCTCAGAGCTCCTGGGGACCCCAAGAGACAGGTGTCTAGCTCCCTCCTGCCTGGCCACACGTACCATGGCACTCGGTGAGGGTCGGGCTGGGCTGGAAGCCCTTGTGACAGCTGCACTGGAAGCTGCCCATGGTGTTGATGCATTGGCCGTGGGTACAGACGCCGGGCTGGCTGTAGCATTCATCTTCATCTAGTTTGAGAAGGAAGAGGCAGCCAGAGGGGTGGCCAGAGCCCCAAGCCAGCAGCCGCACGGCCTTGGACATCCTCCCTCCACAGGAGACCCCGTATCCCCTACCTGTACAGCCCTCCCCGGAGCCGGGCTGCGGCTGCATGCCCTCAGGGCAGACGCACGTGAAGGTGCCAATGAGGTTCTTGCACAGCATGCCTCGGGCGTGGCAGTCCTGTGATCTGTCTGCACACTCGTCCACGTCTTTGGATGACCAGAGGTAGGGGTCAGTAAAATCCAGGTGCTCCACGGTATGGCCCCAGGATCCGCCCTCCACAGCCGCAGTGGGATACAGAGGGGTCTCCTGGCAGGAGTCTGTCCCATCCAGAAGGGAGAGCCCCAGGCCATGGCTAGCCCCAAGGGGCTCAGAATGCACCCCACCTCCCTGGCCTACATCAGGGTCTGAGAGTCAGTCATATGTCACCATGGGTGCTGGAGCTGGAATTCAGGAAAAGCCCTGTGGGGGCCATGTCTGAGCCTCAGGGTCTCTTGCCCTTGACATGGTGCATTTGGGATGAGGAAGTCCTTTGTGGAAGCAGAGATGACCACTGTCCCCTCTGTTCTGCCCTACTTAGGACAGGGCCAGCCTCTGCTGTCCTGTTAGACTCTGGACCAAGATGTCAGTGGTCCATTTCATCTTATTTGGTGGGTGGGCAAGGTCTGTGTAGTTGGGGCTGGTCTTCACTCACTAGGTTGCCCAGGTTGCCCTAGAGATCCTCCTGCCTCAGCCCAGTGCTGGGATGGCAGGTGTGCACCACTATCTGGGTATATGCTGCTATTCTTTGGACCAAGACAATGGCTCCTCCTGAAGGAGCACCTGTGCAAGCTCACTTGGCTCAGCTCTGTGGGCTCCAAGATTACTCCCTCGCACCCTGGGAGCTGAGGCTCTGGACAAGAAGTGGAGGCGTGGAACCCACACTTGTCTGGGAGAGCCTAGGCCCCGGATGTTTGCTGTACGCAATGGGGATCACGTGACCCAGGGCAGGGACACGCCCCGCCCACCACCTCTGCGCAGAGCCCACCGCGGCACATGGCTCCATCCTCCCGCAGGGCATAGCCAGCCGGGCAGGTGCACACGTAGGAGCCCTCGGTGTTGCGGCAGCGGAAAGCGCAGAGCAGCGGGTTCAGGGAGCACTCATCGATGTCTGTGGAAGCCACCACAGGTGTCTGCCAGGGGGGTCTACTGGTGGGATCCCTGCTTCCACCCCAGGTGTCCCTGTCACACCGCCCCCAAGTCCTGGGCAACCAGTGGCGTACCCTCACAGGTGGCCATGGGGCCAGGCTCAAAGCCATCGACGCAGGCACATTCGAAGCCCCCGATGACATTGGTGCACGTGCCTTCCCCACAGGGCTTCCCCATGGAGCATTCGTCTGTGTCTAGGTGGGAAGAAGGTGCTCGAGGTCAGGCCCACAGAGAGGCCCCATCCTCAGGACTGGCCTCTCGTCCGCCATAGGGACGCCATAGCTGCGCGAATGAACGCGTGGGCAGTGGACGGATGAATAAGATAGGGATCAACGCGTGAATGACAAGGGCGGTGTGGGCAAGTGAAAAGCGACTGGATGAGCGTGCGAAAGAGTGACCCAGTTAGCAAGCAGCTGAGCGCGCGGAGGACTATGGGAAAGCAGCGAGCAAGGGAAGCAGGAGCGCAAAGAAGGAAGGAGACGGAAAGAGTACAGGTTGGATGGTGCGCGAGTGCACGAGGGAGGGAGGAGTGACGGGGGTGAAGGAAGGCGTGCGGGACCAATGAGGGAGTGAGGGCTGAGTGAATGAACCAATGAAATGAGCGTATGAACGAGTCAATGAACGAAAGAATGAGTGGCTAAAGGGTGGTGGTGGTGGTGGTGGGACACAAGGGAAACGAAAGAATGGAATGACTGAGTGAAAGAATGATCGTGTGTGAACAAGAAAATGTATGAACAGGGCGCGGTGGCACACTCTCAGCACTCGGGAGGCTGAGGCAGGATAGCTGCGAGTTCGAGGCTAGCCTGGGCTACATAGTGAGTCCAAAGCCAGCCTGAACTGAGATGAACGGGATGAGTGAATGAGTGGACGAGTGAAGAGAGTGTGGGTTAGTGAGGGAGGATAGGGCGATGGGTGTGTGTGTGTGTGATGGGCCCCCCATGAGGGAGAACAGGGCGATGGGGGTGTGTGTATGTTATGGGGTCCCCAGGAGGGAGGACAGGGCGATGGGTGTGTGTGTGTGTGTGCGATGGGGCCCCCATGAGGGAGGACAGGGCGATGGGTGTGTGTGTGTGTGCGATGGGGCCCCCATGAGGGAGGACAGGGCGATGGGTGTGTGTGTGTGTGTGTGTGTGTGTGTGTGTGTGTGTGATGGGGCCTGGGGGCCTCACCCACACAGCCGATCCCCGTAGGGTCCAGGCTGTAGCCAGAGGGACACTCGCAGCGGAAGGAGCCGTCGGTGTTGACACAGAGGCCAGGGCGGCAGACGCCGGGGCTCTCGGCGCACTCGTCCACATCTGCGGCGGCAGGGTTGCAGGCAGGGTCACTGCGCGCGCCAGGACCGCGTCGGGCAGCGCCAAGGCAGGGCGGCGGGCTCGGGGCTCACCTTCTCTGGAGTTGCCCTGGCCTGGGACGGCCCCGTGGCCGAAGGGGCAGAGCTCTTGAAAAGCAGCTGGACAGGGAGAGGGCCGGGTCAGACGGCGCCCCGGGAGGGGGGAGGCGCGGCGCGGCGCGGGCGCCACTCACCGCTGCCCTCCCGAGGACACAGCTCGCAGGGGTCGCCCCAGCCCTCCCCGGGCCTCTTGCTGCAGCAGCACCGGCTCTTGGTGACGTTGAAAGCTTTCGGCGCGGAGCACTTCCCGGCCTCAAATCGAGTGAAGCAGAAACTCTGCCGTGCGTCTGTGGGAGGAGTGTCAGGGGCCAGCGGATGCCAGCGCAGGCCTGCCGCCCAGCTTCACCCCAGACCTTGTGGAGGGGCCATGCCTGTTCTACCACTAGCTAATCAGAACACCCCACCTCCCTGGCCGAGGTGATTGGTTCAGGGATCAACATGTGACTCCTGTTGAGCCAATGAAGATCAGGCCCGGGACTCGGGCAATGTAGATGGGACTCAGCAGTAGTTTCAACCAATTCATTCCTGGAGAGGAGGCAAAGCGTCGGATTCCAGAGAGCAGGAGGTTCCTAGACTTTAGGTCCCCACCCTCCCAGGTCTCAGCTCTACTCCGAATCCTGTCAGCCTGAGAAGTGCTGGGGCTAGCAGAACTGCACTGTGCAGGGACACAGGTGTCTGGTCCGAGCTCCTGCAGTGCTGTACAAAAACCAGCCAGAGGGCCGGGGAGATGGCTCAGTGGAATAAGCGCTTCCCTGGCAAGGACCTGAGTTCAATCCCTGGTTCATTGAACTGCACAGTAAGACCTTGTCTCAAAAAGACAACAAAACACGGGGCCGGGGAGATGGCTCAGTAGGATAAGCGCTTGACTGGCAAACGCAAGGATCTGAGTTCGATCCCCGGTTCCAAACCACAGCCTTCCTTTCCTGGGTGATCGGCTCCTTCCCACCCTACCTCCACCACCGGATTCCCGGAGCCCTGTGCACACCCTGTGTCTAGCTCACCAAAGCAACGGTGTCCACGGTCAGAAGGAACAAAGCCAGGCGGGCAGAGACACTGGAAGCTCCCGGGACTGTTGTTACATGTGCCAAACAAGCAGAGGCTAGGCTCCTCTAAGCATTCGTTGATGTCTGGAGGGTCAGGGACATGAGCTGGGAGGGCTACAAGTGGGACCTCCAGCAGGATGAGGCTGGGATGGGGATCTAAGGTGCAGAATCTGAGGACTTAGTGTGGCCTACAGCACTGGCCGGCAGTGTGTATGTGGTCTTTGCCAGAAGGTGTCTTCAGGGTGGGGGTCACGGTCAGGAGGAGTACATTAGAGACCTTCCAGCCTCAGCCTTCCAGATTGCTGGGATTACAGACGTTAGCTACCATTCCTGATTCCTGGTCCATGTCTTAGGATGGAAAGGAGTCTGGCGGCACCAGCGGTATTAACAGTGCATGCCGCTGCTCCTGGCACTGTGTGCAGCCGGTCCCCAGCTCACCCTCATCCCACCTGGTATTTACAGATGGGCCACAGTGGGGTGGGGCCGTCACTCACCTACGCAGTGGTTGCTCTGCACCTGGAAGCCAGGGGGGCAGATGCAGCGGAAGGATCCCTCCAGGTTCTGGCAAGTGCCTGGCAGGCAGGTGTCCTTGAGTGTGAGACACTCGTTTGTATCTGTGGAGAGGAGAAGGAAGGGGTCCCAGTGCCAGAGCGAGGCAGCCAGCTCACCTGGGCCTGGTCTCCAGCTTGGCATCTTGCAGCCTCTGCCTTCCACAGTGCTGGGATAACAGGTGTGCACCACCAAATCTCGCGGAAACACGCTTGCAGGGAAGGCTCGCCCTAAACCATGCACTCTGGGAACTCAAAAGGTGCTAGTATTTTTCCTTTTTATGCCTTACAATACATGCGTGGACATTAAATGGAGCCACACTCACTGGGAGGTACAAAGTTCTGGTCAGTACGGAGCAGAGGCTGACGGGAGGCTCCCAAGCCTATGGCGACACTCACCCACGCAGTTCTTCCCATCGGCTGCAAGCTCAAAGCCACCCCGGCAGAGACAGAGGAAGGAGCCGGCTGTGTTGTGGCACTGTCCCATTTGGCACACCTGCCCTGACATGATGCGACACTCATCCACATCTGCAGAGGGGAGACGGGCAGGTGGGGTCAGCCACAGGGCTTGAGGGAACTGACCTTCGCTTGCATTTCCACCCACAGTTAAGTTGAGCTGATGGCACTGACTTCTATTTCCTGAATGCTTCTACATCCATTTCTGTATATTAACCTCGCTGCCGTCCTGTGTAGTGGGCCCTGGTGTTTCCTAACATAACCACACAATGTGGTGCATTTGCTCTGAGTGCCTCTGTCTTAGTCACTTTCCTGTCCCCAGACACAACAACTCACACCTACAACTGAAAGGAGGAGGGGCTTATTTTGGTTCATGGTGAGATGGGTCTAAGCAGAAACGTGATGGCAGAAAGGCCTGGCAAAAGGCAAGTGCTGGACTTGTGGTTCTTTCCACCAACCTCCAGCCAAGCCCCAGCCTCACTCCTCATGCTCAGCTACTCAGCTCCCCAGGGGTGAACCCCCTAAGGAGTCTGTGACCCCACGGCGAATCACCTTCCAAACCCATGAGCATTTGGACAACCTTTTAGTCTAAAGCGTAACAACTCTCTTTGCTGGGCCCTGCATATTTCAATATTTTATGATTTCATTTTCATATAATTCTAAATTTTTTTGTGTTTTAGGGAAGGGTCTACAGGGTGTTCAGGGTTTCACTACTAGATCAGACTCCTAGTAATCCACCTGTTTACAGCCTCCCAAGAGCTGGGATTACAGGTGCACACTACCACTCCCAGTCTCATTGCGGTCTCAGCATGGGGTGGGCGGGGGGGGGAGAACACAGCAGTAAATTTTTTTTTTTTTTAATTTTCCTTGTTTTCTTCTTGGCCCATGAGTTATTCAGGACTATGCTGCTTGATTTCCAAATATTTAGAAATTAAATCTGTGATTGATTTCTTGTTTAATTCCCATAAACCCAAGGACCTATTCTGTGTCTTTAATTTTTAAAATTCTGCTGGGGATGTAGCTCAGTGGCTCAGTGTCTGCCTGGCAAAAGCAAGGTTCCAAGTTTGATTCCCAGTACAAAAAAAAAAAAAAAAAAAAAAGGAGTCTGGGGAGATGGCTTAGTAGAATAAGTGCTTGTCTGGCAAGTGCAAAGGCCTGAGTTCAATCCCCGATCTGCTAAAAACAAAAAGACTTAGGATTATAATTTTCAAAATTACTTAGGGATATTTATACGGTCCAGTGTATGCTGTTGTGTGAAACCTGACAAGAACGTGGATTCTAGAATGTTCTAGAGGTTGAGTTGGTTGACAGTTTCATTCCGGTCTTCTATATCCTAACTCATTCCTATTTACTTATTCTCCCTAGTATTGAGGGAGGCAATGAGTTGATGTATAGAAGACTGGAATGAAACAGTCAACCATCTCAGTAGTTCAGGATAGCCTTGAACTTGTGTGATCCTTCCGTTCAGCCTCCGTAGTGCTGGGATTATAGGTGCATACGCCACTGCACTGGCTTTCTGGTAATATCTCTGTTTCGTTAAGTTAGTTTTTGTTTGTTGAGACAAGGTCTTGCTGGGTACTTCAAGCTGGCCTTGAACTCATTATGTAGCCCTGGCTGGCCTCGAACTCACAGCCACCCTCCTACCTCAGCCTGAGTGCTGAGATTACAGAAATGCGCCACCACAGCCGGCGCTGGTAGTATTTCTGCTGAGAAGGCTGTGTAGTCTGACACTGCTCTGCTAAGTCCCATTACTGGTCTTCCTTTCGCAAATAAGGAAATGGAAGTGTAGGGGGTACATTATCCAGGATCGCACACCTGGCAGGTGACAAAGCCACCATTTGAACTTGCACTGCCTGATCTCGGAGTGCATGCTTTCAGCCAGCGACCCCAGATGGGCCCTGTTATACCACCAAGGCCCTGTTTTTACTCTTCAGCTCCTTCTCTTATGCATTTGCCAGAGAAGAAACAGTAAGGGAAGCCAGAAATGAATTTGGACTCAGTGCAAATGAGACATAACATAAACGTGTGTGGGGTGCAGCTAAGAGGGCACGCAAAGGCCAGTTCATAGCATTAGGTCACGGAGTCTATCCGCCTGCCATCGATCTTAGCATAAACTCTGACAGGAGCAAATGAGAGCCCCCATGCCAGCCCTACCACTAGGGAATTGGAGTATGGAGAACAGTTAACTCATTTCCAAGGAAACTCCAATCCCTGAGGTCACCTCCATGGGGAGGGTATCACGCATGTGCCTGGCCAGCTCACCCACACAGTTCCCGCTGAGCGTTGCTGCGAAGCCGGGGGCGCAGAGGCAGGTGTAGGAGCCCGCGACGTTCTTGCAGGCGCCGTTTCCACACGGCCACTGCTCACACTCGTTGAGGTCTGTCAGGGTGGAGCCAGGACCCCCGCACTTACCAGTGCTTTTGGCTAGTGGGCCAGTGATCCCAGAAAGGACGGCTGGGGAGGTCCCCGATGCCATCCATGGTCCCCACAGACACCCACAAGTCATTTACCCAACATTGTGGGCCACAATTCAGATCCAGGCCTGTCACGAACTAGGGTGGATGAAAGAGCCATGCCCACCCTAGAGGCAGGGAAGACCCCAGGCAGGGCCTGGCCCAGGCAGGGAGCGGGCAGGGCTCTCACCCACACACAGGGTCCCATCTGCGGAGGCCCGGAAGCCGCGGTGACACAGGCACACGTAGCTGCCCTCGGTGTCCACGCAGTCGCCATGGCTGCAGACGTTGGGGATTTCCTCACATTCATTCCGACCTGGGGGTGCAGGCAGTGTGCTGTCCCCAGGCATCGCACCCCCACAAAGACTGACCTCACTCTCCTTCTCTAAGGCCTGGCATGAACAAGGCCATGCTACACGGGACAGTCCAGCGTAGCCCTGACACTACTACGAAGCCCAGGCCAGCTCTGCACTCTCAGCGATCCTCCTGCCTCGGCCTCCAGGGCGCTGGCACTACAGGTGTGCACCACCACGCCTGGCGGACTTCATTCTTGTCCCTGAACAGGCGATCTCAGGGCTGGGAGCCCAGCTCCGGGTATGCCACATCCTTAGAGTGTGTGAGGCACTAGGATCCATCCTCAGCAGCCCACCCCGCAGGGTGTTCTCTCAATTTACCTTCTGTCCCCCCACTAGTACAGGCAAGGACAGATTTCTTGCAAGTAGGAAGGGGACAGGGGACGAAGGGGAAGAACAGGAGATAAAAAGAATTAAGCTATATTCTGTACAGATACGAACTCCAAACATTAGGTACCATAAACACGTACTGGTTAAAAATTAAAAGCTGTTGTAAACATTAAATAATAAGTTAGTGTATTGGCTTTTAAAATTTTTCAAGATAGGGCCTCACTTTGTAGTGCAGGCTGGCCTGGACTCACTATGTGGCCCAGGCTGGCCTCAAACTCCCTTCAGTCTTCCTGTTCCAGCCTCCCGAGAGCTATAGGATAAACATGTGCCGACATGCCTGGCTCCATGTCAAAAGAATTCAAATGTGCTAAGTACATGGACCAACTCCCTACAATGAGTGTAATCTCTATATACTCCAAACACGTACTCGTACTAATAAAAATTAAAAACTTTAAAAAGAAGCCAGGCGTTGTGGCTCAGGCCTGTGATCCCAGCCCTTGGGAGCCTGAGGCAGGAAGGACCGTTGCAAGATCAAGACTGGCTGGGCTAAAAAGTGAGCTTAAGGCCAGCCTTCACTGCGTAGTGAGACCCTGTCTCAAAAGGACGAAAATGAGAGAGAGGGAGGGAGGGAGGGGGAGGGAGAGAGAGAGAGAGAGAGAGAGAGAGAGAGAGAGAGAGAGAGAAGAGGCAGGGCATGGGAGTGCATGCCTGTCATCCCCACACTCAGGAGGCTGAGGCAGGAGGACTTCCACAAATTTGAGGCTAGCCTGGCAAAACAAGAGTCATTTTTAGTGAGTTTAAAGCCAGCTTAAATCACAGAGTGAGACCCTGTCTCAAAAAAAAAAAAAAAAAAGTTGAGAAAGAAAGGAAGGAGGGAGAGAAGGATGGAGAGAGTGGGGAGAAAGGGAGGGACAGAGGGAGGGACAGAGAGACAGAGGGGACCCTGAGAGAACCATGCTCTACCCAAATCACAGCAGGTGACAGAGCCTGGCCCCCTCGCCCTTGACCTGGAGACCCCACTCACCCATGCAGGTCCCACTGGGTGACAGCCTGAACCCCCGGGCACACTGGCAGCGGTAGCTGCCTGGGATGTTGACACACTCTTCGTTCCTGTGGCAGGCCCTCTCCCTGCCGGCACACTCGTCCACATCTGAGGAGCCCAGGGAACAGGATGGGGATAAGAGAGGGCACAGCTGGACAGAGTCAAACCTTGAACCCCTGGAGAAAAGGGCAGGCACACTGGGACTGGGCAGACGGAGGCGCTCGGGAAGAGGGTCGCCCTGCGCGATTACTGTGGGCATCACTACATGAAGAAATGCTCAACAGGGCCGGCGAGACAGCTCAGCGGACTAAACACCTGCTTATGCAAGCACAGAGGCTGGGCTTCCCTGGCACCACATGCTGCGTCGGCCCACCTCTGGGTGCACTGAGCCGGGTCCGGGCATGGTGGCACAGGCCTGTAATCCCAGCCCTGTGCTCCTCACCACGGACTGAACCCTCCAAAACCATGACCCAGGTCAGCTTCTCCTCCTCTAAGCTGTGGGTGTTGGGTACTATGTCCGACAACAAAAAGTGAACAAATACGGCCCACTCTACAGATAGGGAAACTGAGCCTAGAAGAGTTTACAGGACCAGATTGCAAAGCACGAAGCCAGTGTCCCACCCAGACCCCAGGGCTGGGGATAGAGGGGGGGGCACCTTTGCAGGCCAGCAAGGCGCTGTGGTACTTGAAGCCCAAGGGGCACTCGCAGCGGAAGCTTCCAATCTGGTTGATGCAGACGCCGTGTGTGCACAGGGCCGGGATCTCCCCACACTCGTCAATGTCTGGGGAGGACACAAACTGTCAGGGGCAGCCCTACGCCCAGGGCCTCCAGGAGCCCCTGAGCTGAGGCACCCATTGGTCCTAGAGCCAGACGCTGGAAGATAGTGGAAGGTGAGGCTAGAAGCCAGCACACAGCCCCAAAAGCCCACTGTAGCCAAAGAGTGTCCACCAGGAGGATGTGAGGGTGTGGGAAGAGAGGAGAGGACAGGGAGGAGGTGTGTGCAGCTGAAATGTCCACTGTAGGGGCTGGTGAGATAGCTCAGCTGTCTAAAGCACTTAGGCAGGTGTAGGGAACTGAGGTTCCGCCTGCTGCGCCAGCCCCACCCTCAGGACAGCTGGAAGGCGGGCCGGGGAGATGGCTCAGCAGAATAAGCACTTGCCTGGCAAGTGCAAGGACCTGAGTTCAATCCCTACTTCCACAAAGAAAGAAAGAAAGAAAGAAAGAAAGAAAGAAAGAAAGAAAGAAAGACTTTTTTTTTTCCAGGCATGGTATACATCTCTGTAATCCCAGCCCCCAATAGGCTGAGGCAGGAGGACTCTTGGGAGTTTGCTACCTAGACAGACTCCATCTCAACATGCAACAACAACATAGGGACTGGGCATATAACTCAGTGGTGCGGTGCCTGGCGAGTGCGAGGTCCTGTGTTTGATTCCTGCCATTGAAAAGCAAACACAACAAAACAAATGAATAACTACCTCCCCAAAATAAAAATAAATAAGGCTTAAATTTGGAGACAGAATCTCTCTAAGTTGCCCCGGCTGCTTTGTAGATATGATCCCCTTGCCTCAGCCTCCTAGAATGAGGGACCACAGGGGTGTGGCCGCCGTGTTTGGCTAGGAGTTTCTGTGTACTGAAAATGTTCTAAACTTTAGTTAAGGGAATGGTTGCACAGCTCTGAGTGTATAAAACCACCAAATTGGGGTCCTTCTTCCCCTCTTCCTTTCCCTCATTATTACTGCTGCTGTTGTTACTTACAGAGCTGGGCATGGAACACGGGACCTCGCACATGCTAGACAAGCCCCCCATCACCGATCTACACTCCCAGCCACAAACTGGGCTCTTCTAGGTAAGGCGTACCGCACATGAATTCCATCGCATTCGAGTTGCATAAATGCACGCGTATGCCCGCCCATGCACCCAACCACCCCAACACAGGCCTCTGCTCCCTGTGAGTTCCACTTCTTCAGATGCAACCAAGCACTGACCAGAACTATTTTTTTTTTTTTTTTTAAACTAGAGGTAGCACCAGGCACTGTCATCCCAGTACTGTGGGAGGCTGAGGCAGGAGGTCCCCGAGCTGGGCCCAGCCTGGACAACGTAGTAATTTAATGAGGGCCTACTTCAAAATCAAAACTAAAGGGCCAGTGAGATAGCTCAGCGGACTAAGCACCTGCTTAGGCAAGCACAGCGACAGGGGTTTGATCCCCCGCACCACATGCCCCTGGGCACACTGAGCCGCCCACTATGACCAGGCGTGGAGGTGCACACCTGAATCCCAGCTGGGAACAGCAGGATTACTATGAGTCCGAGCTGGGTAGTGAGACCCTGCACCAAATATATAAATAATTTTTTTTAATGCTAAAAAACAAAATCAAAAGTAAGGCAGGAGTGGGGATGCAGTTCAGTGTGACGCTTCGGGTTCAATCCTCAGTACCAGGGGAAAAAAACTGCATCTACACCAAACAGAAACTCTTTTCTTGCCATTCTCCTCTACACTAAAGATGGAGTCCTGTCTGATCTCACTCTCAGCAGCCTCCAAGCCGCAAATCCACAGCAACAGGAAGCGGACGGGGATGCCAGAGCCTGAGCCTTCCAGTTCCAAGGGGACAGAAGTTGAGGGTGGGATACAGAGAGGAGGAGCCTCGGCAGGGAGGGGGCAGTGGCAGCCGCCACTCACCTGTGGGCTTCCCCGTGTGGACATCGACAGTGAAGCCCGGGACCTGATTCCCACACAGGACCTGGAAGTCGGCTGGGCAGAGAAGAACAGAGCTGTGGCCGGCCCGGGAGCTCAGGCTCTGGGCGCTCCATCAGGGCAGGTGAGGGAAGCGACTGTGGAGTGGTCCACCGGCAACTCCCGACCTGCAAGTGCCCTGCACGAGTCTCTGGCTCAGCAGGAGGGGCCGGGTCTTGTTTTCCCTCCCCAGTACTGAGGACTGAACCCAGGGCTTCCCACGGAGCTCCATCCGCAGCCCTTCTTTCCTTATTTGGAGACAGGACCTTGCTACATCACCAAGCTGCCCAGGCTGAGCTCGAACATGGCAGTCCTCTCGCCTCAGCCTCCCAGGGAGCTGGGATGACAGATGTGCCCCACCATGCCCCCGCTCTCCTAACAGACTGACCACCCAGTTTCCCTGCCTGGAACACCTCCTCTCACCCCAACTCTGTTTTTCCAGGGGCTGGGACTTCCCAGAGCCACCCAGGTCCCCTCTCCCAGCCCAGGGGATCCCTGCCCACCTATCCGGCTGGGATTTTCTCCCTGGCCCCCAGAGCATCTGGGAGCTCCCCAACTGCCTGCAGAGCCTTCCCCACCTCCATGAGCCCCATTGGTCACCCTGCCATCGTAAAGCCCCCAGCGGAGGGAAGGCTGCGGGGCTTTCCAGGAGGAGCGCCACGGGAAGGGCTGGGGAGGGCGCTCACGGCTGCCGGGGAGAGGGCAGGCCTCGCAGGGCCGACTCCAGGCCCGGCCAATGTCGTAGGCGCAGCAGCACGTCTTCCGGGTCACGTTGAAGGCCAGCTCATTCCCACAGGTGCCATTATAGTGCCGGAAGCAAAGGCTCTTTCTCACGTCTGCAGCAGGGGTGGGGGACAAGAGTTAGTGTGGGAAAGGGCCGCTTCCGGTCAGCGGAAGAGAGGACCAAACAGATGGAGATGCATCATGGATCCATTTGGGCGTGATGAGCTTGCTGTCCGTTCCCCAGCGCACTGGGAAGTACCCTTCATAGCTCAGCCTTTACCGGGCAGTGCACAACCTGGGCGACCTCTCCAAGGGCGGGTCAGGCTCCTGAACCCTGCAGCCTTGTTCAGTGACACAGATCGCCTCTGCAGCTGCTCCCACCCTTCTTCTCCTTTCTCTTTCAAACACACCTCTGTCACTGTCTTCAGCGTTAAAGGCTCCTAAGCGCCTGCCCCCGCATTGCTCACCCACGCAGTGGTTGCCCGCGTCGACCTGCAGGAACTCCGCGGGGCAGACGCAGGAGTAGCTCCCCAGGGTGTTGTGGCACGTGCCAGGGCCGCAGATGCCCGCGTGTGCAGAGCATTCGTCGACATCTGAGGAGAGGGCAGGGCGCAGGACAGTGGGCAGGTGGTGTCCAGTAATCGCCCGAGAGGCTTGCCAGCCAGGCCCAGGGGACCACGGCACTGCAGGCGCAGCTTTCCCTCGAAATCGACTCGTAAGTGTGCGGACGTCCCAGTGATGTGGAAAGACAGGCCGCCGCACTAAGTGAGGGAAGTCTACTGGGACACGACTTCTGTATAAAGTGGACTAGACTGAGAAAACTCCTATTCATCCTTCACAACCTCACCTAAGCCAGGCGAGGTGGCCCGCACACTCCTGTACTTAGTTTCAGCACTCAGGGAGGCTACAGCCCTGGCTGTTCTTGAATTTGCACTGAACCTCTTGCTGCATCCTCCCAAGTGCTGGGATTACAGGTGTACACCACCACACCTGGCTACAGGACTGCAGATCTGAGCCCAGCTTGGGTGATTTGGTGAGACCCAACTCAAAAATTATGAAGATTTAGCTCCGTGCAGAGGCACTGGGTTCAATCAGCAGTACTGGGGTGGGGAGGGAGGACCAGGTCTTACGAGTTCTTTTTTATTAGTAAGCAGCTGTTCTTGCTTATCTTTGGGAGCTACATTCTGCTAACCCTAGCGGCTGCTTGACACTATGAATACTATCAATCACACATATACTGGTTCGTTGTTTTTTTTTTTTTTTTCCTGATACAAGCAGCTATGGCAAAACTTAATTATCTTAAGCATATTATCTGACCACAGTGCAAGGAAACTTTAAATCAATGTCAACAGAAACCACAAACATTCTATAAACACATGGAAATCAACGGACACCCTCCTGAACAACTAATGGGTCATTTGTGAAATGAAAGAAGAAATTAAAGAAGAAATTAAACAGTTTCCATAATTACATCATAATGACAATACCAGATACCAGCACCTACAGGATGCAATGAAAGCAGTCCTATGAGGGAAATCCATAGTGGTAAACACCATGCCAAAAACAGTGAGCTCAGGGGCTGGGAAGACAGTCCAGCAGCATAAACTCCTGCCTGGAAAGTGCAACATTCCGAATTCAATCCCCAGTAAATAACACCGCTCTCTCCTCCCAAAAAAGTGAGCTCAAGTAAACAACCTAATGATAAGGCTGGGGAGATGGCTCAGTGGAATAAGCGCTTGCCTGGCAAGCACGGGGGCCTGAGTTCAATCCCCAGTTCCACCAAAAACAAACAAACAAACAAAAAAACAACCTAATGTTGAACCTCAAGATTCTAAAGAGAGGGCCAGCCAAATAGCTCAACAGATTAAAGCTCCTGCAAGCAGTAGCAGGGGCCAGGGGTTTAATCCCCAGGCCTGCCGTGTTGGCCCCGCCCCCCGGGGCACGCTGAAATGGCGATTGAGACTGGGAGTGGTGGTGCGCTAGCTCTTGGGAGCCTGTAAATAGGCTGATCACTATGAGTCTGATCTAATAGTGAGAACCTGACCACCCTGTAGACCCTTCCTTAAAATACAAAAAAGAAAAAAGATTCTAAAGAAGAGAGCTGATGAGATAGCTCAGTGGTCTAAGTGCCAGCCTGGCACGCTCAAGGGCCCAGGTTCAGTCCCTAGTACCGCATGCCATGCTGGCCCCAGAGCCCCAGGTGTGCCATGCTGGCCCTGAAACTGAGCATGGTGGCACATGCCTATAATCCCAGTGCTGGGGAGGCTGAGACAAGAGGATCAATCACTGTGAGTCCAAGCTGCATAGTGAGACCCTGTACAAAATACACTAAAAAAAAAAAAATTAGGTATGAGGTCTCACTTTGTTGCCCAGGCTGGCTTCTAATCTGCCTGACTCAGCCTCCAGAGTAGCTGGACCTATACGATGTACTACCATGTTTGCAGTACTCACCAGTCAATGCTAAGGGGCACACCTTTTTGTAAAGACCTAATCTGTGGTGGTCACATGGTGAAGGGAAGGATAACGTCGTAAAAGAGAGCTCAATGTGGGCTGGAGCCTCCAGTAACTGGGAGCGAAATAAACCTTTCTTCCCCCCTCCCCCCAAAAAAAAGTTGTAAAAGAGCAGCTTTTTTATTGCATTGAAATAAAGTTGACGGAGCCCAAACTTGATTATTGTAAAGATGATAATTGTAGTGTCAGACCAACAATTAAAAAAATATTTTTAGGGGCAGGGAGATGGCTCAGTGGCATAAGTGCCTGCCTGGCAAGTACAAGGTCCCAAATTCAATCCCTGGCACTGCAAAAATAAATAAAAAATAAATAAATACTTTTAAAAAATACAGAAAAAGAAACATGAAGGGAATTTGAGAGTCTGTTAGAAAAAAAAAATCAACTAACCATAAAAGAAATCAGTAGTTGAGGAACAACTAGTAAAAGCACTAAGTAGGGCTGGTGAGATGGCCCAGTGGTCTAAAGCACCCACTTAGAACAAGCTTAGCAAAGCACAGGGACCACAGTTCAATCCCCCAGCACCACATGCCAGCCAGCCCCGCCCCCTGGTGGGCTGAGCTGGCCACACACACACACACACACACACACACACAAATAAATAA